TCAAACATTTCACTCAAAGCACCTTTTTCAACATGGCAGCAACTTTGCCCCTGATCCTTGCAAGATGCACCATCCCTGCAGGCATTGTAAATATGATGAGTTTGGGAGGAGGAGAAAGGAGCGATGGGGAGTGTGCATGGGGGCATAAGAAAATACAGTCCTGGCTTGTGCAGGAGGCTTGCACGGAAATAATTCTAGTGATGCCCCACTTGTCCACAGACTGCCATCACTCTTGCTGACCTCATTCATGAGGGTAAACAGGGAAATCTGGGCTCTGCTTCTGGATGCTAGCGGGGTCACCCCATTGCTTATGCAGCTCAACTATGTGCCACTTTGGTTCCTGCAGTACTTGAAGAATGGTATGGGAGAGTATTGAACCACCCAGGGGGATGGAAACACTGCTGCTCTGCCATGGAATCTGTTAGAGAACATTAATAAATACCTTAGGCAAGGTTTCCAGAACATCTCTCTGCGGGACTCAATTGACATCTTGTTGTGCATCAGCATCCTGCTTGGACATCTACCCATGGAGGGCTATGCCAGCTCTCAGAAACAAAGCCACCCTCCTACATTTGTGACCTCTTCTCCCCTACTCTCCCCACCATCCCAAGCCAGAGCCATTTACCCTGCATCTCTTCCTGCTCTCCATCAAGCTGCTGCTGAGACTCATTTGCCTCTGGACTTGAGAACTGTTCCTGGCTGTCCTCTATTCTGGGCAAGCCCACTGTGAGCCACACATTCTCGCCTAGCTCTTTACCGCTCATCTGTAATTTCATCCTCTGGGTTAAGTCCTCTTTCTGCTGATGACGCAGTGCCTTCCGCAGTATCCACAGGTTTCTTAGCAGCGGACGGGGGTCCCACCCAGGATTGCATCCATCTCTTTATAAAAACTGCATTACTTGGGTGCAGCACTAGAACTATAGTTTGCCTCCCTCACCTTATGGCAGTGATCCCCAATCTTTTTCCCATGGAGTAACCCCTAAAATAATTTTTCATATCCCGAGGAACCCCTATCGGCCAGAAAAAGTTGACAGCGGGGAGTGCAATTCAATTACTGCTAAATTATTGTCAAGAAAATTTATTTGTAAAGAGCTGTTATATATATGTCAGCTTACATTGTAAGAAAAAAAATCGTGCACACTTTTTATTTATTTATTCCGTGATTTCTTGCGGGACCCCTGACGATGGACTGCTGAACACCAGGTTTCCGCAGAACCCTGGTTGGGAAACACTGCCTTATGGTATGACTGCCTCAGCTCCTTTATCTTTGCTCTGCGGTGCAGTGTGTCCCAGTCATCCCCCTTCTCACACAAGGATGGAGAAGTGTGGCTGTATGTGTCCCAGTTCCTATGGGACTGCACTGACTCCTCTACTCACACACTGAGAAGATCCAAGAGCTCTGATGGTCCAAGCAATAGTCAGTCTTGATCCACTGAGAAGATCCCATGAAAGCACTCCACACTGAGCCGCCCAGCAGAAAATGGAATTTAAAGTTCCCAAGGCTTACGGAGGGGAGGGACAGATTGCTGTTTACATGGCTGCAGGGCAGTGGAGTTTAAAGCACTGCCCAGAGTGGATACTTGACATTGTGGGAAACATACTGGAGTTTAATAAAGGCAAAACATAAAAAAGTTTTCTGTGGTTCACACTGCGTGATTATCCTCAGTAAAGGAGGGGAAACAAAAAAAAAGTCCGTCATCGAGGTGGAAATTTTTTGTTGCCAAAACCGGGTGTTCTGCAGTGTTGCAGCGTGAATGCTTTCCGGGTAAACTTGCCAGTGTAGGCATGCTGTAAGAAACTGGATGTTGCTATGGTAACAAATGAAACTAGGATAGTAATCAGACTATTGAACCTTTGTAGTAGTCCACTTGCAGGTGATGAGTACAGTACTGTATAGTGCACCACTTTTTTTTTTAAAAAGAGAAAAAGTGTTACAGTCAGTTGAAACCAAAAAGAACTACTAAGGATGAAGACAGAATGAACCGCCTGGCACATTTAATTTAGTCAGTGTGTTGAGTAAGAACCTCTTGTAGAAGAGACAGGCTGCCCACATTTTCAAGTACTTCCTTTGCCATACAAAATAGAAATTCATGTGAATTCACCATCCCGATTTGTGAATGCACCTCAAGGGATGCATGAGACCTATGCTTAATTTGTACTAGAGATGTTAAATTATCGGTTAATTGAATAGTTGAGTAACCTCATGAATTCTCATCAGTCTACTATTCCTATAGTCCCAGAGGTGGGGTTGGTAGCCAGTGAGCTCCTGGCCCCGCTCCCGAGGAGCAGTGCAAGGTGCCAGGCAGGAACTAGTCTATTAGGGGAGCCAGTTTAAAAACTAGCTCCCCTCTTGGACCGGCTGCCTGTTGCCCTGTGCTGCTGCCTCTGATACAGAGACAGCAATGCAGGATGGCAGTAGCCCCTGTCTAGGGGGCTCTGAGTTCCCGGTCCTGGCGTGAGATGGAACTGGGGCAGGCAGCCTCCCACCTTTAAATACAGAGCCACAGCAGGGGTAGATCTTGGACCCGTTGCAAGCCAGGACAGAACCAGTCTGCTGGCCAGCCTGCTAAAAAATTTACTGGTGGGGAGGGAGAGGGGGTAATGTGTGTAGCCTATAGCAGTAACCTAGAGCATTAACCTATAAGTTTTTGCTTATTGGTTAATCAGTTAATTGACTATACTGTTACATCCCTAATTTGTACCAGGGTTGCACCTGCAGGGTTTGCAGTTCATACCCTAGCACTCCTCTTCTTGCTGTTTCAGTAACCCCCCCCCCCAAAAAAAAAGTTGCTTGAGCAATAGCACCTTTTTTATTAACATATTAAGTTCTGCAAGAGCCGCTTGAAAAACTTGAGCCAAAATGACTGCCAAAGTTATACAAGAGGAGCAAGCTCATCAAGCAAATATTCTTGGACTGCCTTGGTTGTCCTGAGCTTTTCTTGAATCTGTTGTGCTTAAAGGAGACTTGCACATGATGGTTTATTATTTATGAAAGTACTTTTCTCTCGTGTTCGGCAGGAGTGAGTTACATCGGTGTATACAAAAAAATCTGTAACAGTCGAGCATAAAAAAATCCCTTTTCTTTACCCATTGCTTAGGTTTCAGTCTCATGATGTGATCATACCATGTGTTCTCCCATAGTACAGAGATTTTTCCCACACAAACAAAATAGATAAGTCCTAATAGTTCTAATGGTTATTATAAAGAATAAGCTCAAGCTTTGTATAAAATATTATGTTTATGAAAGGCATTACATCTTTTACTTTGCTGGCCAACTTTAAAATTTAATTGTATTTCAGTTTATAAAATATAAACATCTGTAGGTACCCAAGTATGTCCAAATAGGCTTTGAAATTGACACAGGTAGCTGAATGCCATGTAAATAAGTGTCAATCTTTGTTGCTACTGTTGGCATGCTGCGACTTTTTTTTCTGATGGCCTGAGTTAATGTCTTAGGATAAAGCTGTGGATTACAAGGAAGATTTTTTTCAAACAGAAAACCCTAGATCTTTAAATGTCTAGCCATCTTATTCTTAATATACATTTTAATCCAGATACTCAGGTTAACATTGGCTGGTTAGGAAGCTTGAGACAAACATGCTTACATGTAAAATCAAACTTACCCAAAAATTCTGTGTTGCATTTTTTTAACTGACATTTTTCATTCTAATCACCTAAGGTGTATTGGTTAGTCATGATGTGTCATCCTATCATTTAAATATCTAATTCTTATAAAATGTCTTTGGAATAGGATAGGGGAAATATAAAGTGCATCAATGGCTTTTTTCCCTGGGGGAGGGGGGAGTGATTTTAATCTCGATTTAAAAAAAAAAAAAATGTTTGTTTCTACAATGTAATAAAGGATTTTCATTGTTTTTTAGCATCCAGGTCTGTAGCAATTTTATTTTTTGCTTTGCAGGGATAATGGCCCAAGCAGCAACGCCAGCGTTGTCCGTCCATGATGAAGACTCCTCTGAAAGTAGAATGGTGGTTACATTCCTCATGTCAGCCCTTGAGTCAATGGTTAGTGTTGCTAGTTACTTCAGTATGTTAGAATTAACGTTGCTTACATATAAAAACTAGGGATGTTACCTAGCAGTTAATAAGCTAATTGAGTAGTTGATGGAATTTCCAGGGACTACTTTATTAGTCAATAAGGAGTTTAGCTCCTGGGGGCTGCATGTGCTGGGTCCCCTGCTGTGGCTCTCCCTCGTCCCCCTTCCTCCTCTTGCTGCCTCTGATACAGAGGCAGCAGGGGAAGAGGGGAGGAGAGAGTAATTGAGCAGTGACTTGACTACCCAATTAGCAGCTTACATCCTTAATAAAAACTACAACTCTTTCTTAAATTTTGCATGCCACTTTCACTTACAGCTTTTATACTTTATGTAGACTGCATTATTCTAGAATATAACTGTAGAATACTAGAGTGAGCTGATGGGTTTTTTTTCCCTTGAAAAAATATACTCTCAGTTCAGTCTCTGTTCAAGCAAACCATGCTAATAACCACCATGGCTTTTGAATCCTAGTGGATACATGATCTGAACTGAGAAGTAGCAATGTTAGGCCTGGATTTTAAACAGCAATTGAGGGCAATTTGTAGTTCCAATTGGATTAAGTTTCTGTGGTGGTGATTGTGCTATGCTAGACTAGTGTATTCCTTCTTAGTATAAATGATGTAATTTGGTATCTCATAAATCATCTACATCATAAGACTAAATCAGTTTGAATGTTTACACAACAAGGATGTACCAATTTAACTTAAGCCTGATCTATACCAAAATTTAGGTCTACATAACTACATTTCACATCCTGCAGGATGTGGTTAGGTTGACAGCCCTCGCTGCAGACAAATTTCTACCTTCAGCATAGCCGCTGCCTATGGAACAGGGAGGATTTACTATAGTAATGGAAAATCTCATTCTGTCACAGTAGTGCCTACTTCGTAGCAGCACAGCTGCAGTGCGTATACTATAGCCTTAACTTTAGTCAGTTTCTGAACAGATGTAGTTAAATTGGTACAAGGTAGATAGACAGCACCTAACTTCACTAATACTTCTAAAGTGTTTCTAATTTCTCAGATGAAAGGCACTATAGAAGTACAAAGTATCTGTTGCTTAATGGTTTGTGGCATGGATTCAGGTACAATTGCATTAACTGTATTTTTAACTGTTGTAGTTCAAAGCAGCCCTGTTTTTTCTTTTATAGTGTAAAGAACTTGCCAAGTCAAAGGCAGAAGTCGCTTGTATTGCTGTGTATGAAACAGATGTGTTTGTAGTTGGAACTGAGAGGGGAAGAGCTTTTGTCAATACACGGAAAGATTTTCAGAAGGATTTTGTTAAATACTGTAAGTTAATTTTTTTTAAATGACAAATACTTCAATATACATTATAGTACACTGAACCACATCTAACAAGTGTTGCAATGCTTTGGTCTTGTTAAAATTGACAATTATATTACGTAGAGCAGATTTTAAGAAAATTAGCTCTTTACATAAATCTGGTGTTTCACATCTGCTGTTTAATGCTAATTTAATTGTGTTAAACTTTGTCTACATTGAAAGTAGTGTTTTCTATCATTTTCTAATTCGGTTTTTAAAAAGTGTATTTTCTCTTAGTGTAGAAGACAGACTTTTAGGTAATCAACTAATTTTTAACTGACAGACATTCCCTTAATACTTCATGTGAATTCTTGTCTTCTGAAAGGATACATGAAGCTTTTGACATAAGTAGAAAACCATAGTTTATTCAATTGTGAAAAAGCTATAGGGAAGAAACTCTTAATTATTCTAAAAACACATTTATCCTGGTAAGAATGGGGTTGTCTGGCTTTAACTGTATCTGTTTTTAAACTACACTGGTCTAGGTAAATGGTACAACTTTTGTGTGCAGACAAGGTCTAACAAATGACAGACTGTGTCGTTCTAAAGCATAATGGCCTGTCTTTAAGCTTGCATTTCAAAGATCAGTCTGCCCATAAAGAAAGTGGTGTTTTTTTTGTTTTGTTTTGTTTTTTTGTGGGGGGCCTTATTTTTTGGTTATTGAGGATTGTAGTTTTGCCTGGCTATATGGAGATTTTTTTTTTTGTTAAACTAAAAATCATCCTCCACCCCATCTCCTTTAATTATTAAGTGTTGCTGACAGACATATTTCCCTCTTCCACCTCATGTGTCTCATATCCTGGGATCAACATATCTACAACAACACTGAAAACAGACCTATTTAGTCCATCACAGAAACCGTGAACATACTTGAAAAGTAGTTTTGCTGCTTTTGAAATTTCTGAGAGCTCATTGTTTCAGTGCCCATTCAGGGCAGGGCTCTCAATTGTTTAACTGTCATAGAGAATTATACAGCCACTATCAAAGTAATTATTCGGCTTGGTTTGCAGTGAAGTTACTGTTCTCTTGCAGTGGAAGTGGTTGTGATAGCAACTACAGCTTTATAACTTCATTGAAGAATCAGAGTAGTTGGCGCATTACTGATAAATGGCAGATACTAAGAATACGTGTAATAAACACTTGATGGCAAATTGGTTTGCTATGTATGACTTTTGTCATGATTGTCCTCTTTTGAAAAGTTTAATTTTCCACTTTGGAGAGAGAATGGCTTCTGTAGTTTGTACCTTCCTGTTCTGAAGGTGGAATAAAAGTGTATTATTGCTCCTTGTGCTGGTTAAGTCATGTAATTCTATTAATAAAACTTCCTGCTCACAATGGGCAGTTTCTGTTGCAGCAAGGCCACAAGGAGGATTAATCCTCACTGGATTTCTATTCCTATCCACTTCTTGGGGCAACATGAATCTGTTATTTTTGTATGTAATATATTAGCACTTGAGGTCCTGTTGTTAAATATTAGCACTTGAGGTCCTGTTGTACATAGTTGGTTGGTTTTCAACCATTTTCCATTTGTGAACCCTAAAATGTTTTGAATGGAAGTGAATTCCCCTTTTGAAATTCAACCTGTGGCCTGCAGACCCCTACCATAAAAGTCATAGATTGAAAACTGACTGAATAGGCTTAAACTCTAAATGTTGCACATGCTTAGCATGGCATTTGATGCATCACGAGGAGAAAGGTTGCTAGATTATAGGCTTCTGTGGTAATGACTAGTACGTGAATGTTGTGACAGACCCTTCCCCCCATGCTGCATGAAATTGTCCTATGTGTACAAATATGCATGAAGATGCTTTGGACAAAATACCTCATGTAATGTATCAATTTTAATGTCACAATCTGCTGGATCTGTATATCTTATTTTGGTGTATGTATCATTTTTGCATGTAAGGTTAGAAATATGGGATATAGAATAGCTTATGGTTTTAAACATGTAAATGACAACCATCAAGGGTGTTTCCAGTGCATGACACCTCAGTGTCTGGGTGATCCTGTAAACAGCTTCCTTTGTCCTTTAAGTCTAAGTAGTGGTTGATCTTAGGAAAGCATATGACCACCCCAACTAACAAGGTCTGACCATGGAAGGGGGAAAATGTAGAAACAAAGAATTCCTGCCCAAAAGGAAGTCTATTTAAGATGCAAAGTTTTCAGGCTCTTTGTCTTTGACTGGCCTGAGACACCCTAAGGGAGCTGGAGACCCCAGGAAGGAAAAGATTTTCTTTGGCTTGGAGGTTTTTTGTGTGAAATGAAAACAGTTTAGGTAAGTTTGCAATAAGCTTTAGTGTGTTAGAACTAGCTATGCATTTTATTTTAAATTTGTAATTTACTTTGCTCTGTCTGTTTTCACTTGCAGTCACTTAAATCCTACTGTTTGTACTTAATAAAATGACTTTTATTTACTATCAAGCCCAGTGTAAATAATTGTTACCCCGGGGAGCCATCAGTGTATACAGCCTCCTTACATTGTTAAAAGGGGCTTGCCTCAAAGGTTTATTTGGGGGTTGGTTTTCTAGATGCTGTGCCTGAAACTGAATTATTCTTAGAGCTGAAGTGATTCAGTGCCTACATTACTCTTCGGGGGGGGGAAGGGAACAATGATTTCAGCTCTATACCTTGGCTGGGGAAGGCCAGGTTAGGATGGTGAGAAGCCCCAGAGACCAAGGAGGTGAGTGTCAGTGGTTTTGTCAGTACACCAGAAAGCAGCCCCAAAAGGGAGTCTTCTATGGCCGCACCCCGTCACAATCATGTACCCATGTATGCTGTTAACTGATGAGCGTGAACTCCTCCGTTAACCCTCATGGTTACACAACCAGCTTTTAAGCTGATTTTCCCACATGTGCCAATTCCTGCAGAGCCAGTCAGCCCCCCTCCCCCTATGCTGCTGCCTCCCAGAGAGGCACACATTCCTGTCTTGGCCCCCTGACCACCTTGCCACAGAATACATAAGCCACAAGGGGTTCTTCTCAATGGGGCTCCCTTGTGATCCACTCATGCCTGGTCGTTTCACCGACATCAGTGTGGGATGGTCAGGAAAGGTGCGTGACAGCCACACCTTTAGGAACTCCTGCCTCTTCAGAAAGTTGCGCATTGGAACTTTTTTCCCAGGCAGAAAAATGAGAATCGGAGAGGTGGAAATAGTTGTCATCCTTGGCAACCAAGCCTACACCTTACTCCAGTGACTAATGAAACCATACACAGGCAGCCTGGACCCCAGCAAGGAGAAGTTCAAGTATGGGCTGAACAAGTGCAGAATGGTGATTGAATGTGCTTTTGGATGTTTAAAGGGTAGGGTTAGGAGTCTTCTGACTAGATTGGACCTCAGTACATGCAACATTCCCTTTATGGTGTCAGCCTGTTGTGTGTTCCATAATTTTTGCGAGAGCAAGGGGGAAACTTATCTGCAGGGCTCGACGAACCGCGGCGAGCCCCGCTCACCAGCCGTGCTGTCCAGCGATCTGCGCAGGTTGCCCGATTTTTTTTATGGGGGACTTTTGATGTCGGGGTCTCTGATTTTTATTTTAGCGCTGACCTCACTAAATCCGCTTACCAACTGTTACCATTAACAAGTTTGCTTTTGGATTTTTTCTTTATGCTTCATGGCAGTCTAGTTTGTAAACAAGTCAATCTAAGATTGTAAAATTATAAACATATCCAAACGTACATCTAGACTACATGCCTCTGTCGCCAGAGGCATATAGATTAGGCTACCAGGCATAGGAAAATAAAGCGGCGTACCTGGGTGGTCGACAAATGCCTTTGATGTCGACCCCCGCGCGTCCAGACTACCGTGTTTGTCAGCTCAGCGCGGCAGCCATGTATTATTTAAATCGCCGCTTTATTTTCCTATGCCTGTTAGCCTAATCTACATGCCTCTGGCGACAGAGGCATGTAGTCTAGACGTACCCTAAGATTGAGGCACTGGAGAGTTCTTACATAATTGACCAGATCTAAAGAAAGACTCTTGACCCTTTTTGTTTGCTTGGCACCATATTGTTAATTGTTCAGTGTTTCTAATTTCCTATAATATTTGTGGAAACAATAATTCTTTGGTGCTAAGAATATTAAAATTGCAGTGTTTCATTGGCTGAAGCTTTATTAAACCTAATAATATTCTCTTTATGGAGGCACTTTGGTTTGGAAGGAATGTAAAAGCAGACCAGAAGAAGGGATTTTTTTTGGAGGGGGACAAGAATGAGACTGGTCAAATAACGTATCTAGTACTGTGTAAAAGTCAACTTAATTATTCCTAATGAATTAACGTGTGTTCTAGCTTTAACTGTCCCCACAGATACTGATTTTAATTCCTGCCCCTCCCTCCATCACTTTTTTTCACTTCTCCATTTGAAAGAACTCTCTGCAGAGTCAGTTCCAATGTGGTGCTATTGGTTCTTTGCACTTGCTTTTTCAGACATTGAGCTAATTTCACTCTCATACGGTTACAGAGATAGCAAGCAAAAAGCTACTATGCACTCTAGGGATATAAAATTGCAGTTACAGTCAAATGGTTAAACAAAATATTTAACTAGTTGACAGTTATCCCGTGGGCAGGGGGCTGCTCCAGCCAGGACTGCCGCTGCAGCACAGCCAACTGGGGTCCCGCCTGTCCCTGCCCGCGGCTAGGGACATTGCTGAGTTGCAGATGCAGACAGGACTACCGGGCTGGCATGGCCAGGGTCCAACCTGCCCCAGTAGGGCAGATGCAAGGCTGCCTACTTCCCTGTCTAGGTTCCTGCCACTCAGGCTGGATAACTGGTTATTTATCCAGTAAGCCTAATGCTTAAATGGTAGCCAGTTAACTGGATAACTTTTTACATCCCTAGTGTACACACACTTCAAGCTTCATTGGTAGTAACAGCATTGAAGACTGATACTGAGCAGGCAGCTTGTGGGAAAGAAAGAAGAGTGCACATGAGCATGTGGGATATTAGTTGTCTTGGGTATATTCGAGGCCC